TTATGTAGCTCATAACTGCATCCCCAGAACTTTGCATAGCGCTGGGCGTGAAGTCGACATCCAGAAATAGCTCCCAAATGAATGGGAAGGTTTTCCCTGCAGCCTGGTGAAAGTACCTACATGCCTCTGGGCCTCAGTTTCTTCGACTTTGAAGTGGAGTCAATGATGTTTGTATTCTGTCTCACAGCGTTGCCGTGATGATAGAATGAAACAGGTGAAATAACAGACACACACAAGTATGAAATGAATGCTGCTGTGGGTGGCACAGTTTTCAAAGAATGCTAGTTCCTGGGAGAGAAACACACACGTGCATGCGCGCGTATCCTTGGTGAGGCAAACCAGTGGGGAGGCTTGCTCTCTGAAAGCCCAGAGGTGCCCTGAAAACCTACCGCATCCGTGCACATCACTGGACCCTTACCTCTCTCACTTCCCAAACCACAAGCTCTAAGGGCCAACGTGATGCCCAGGGAGTGGCCCTGGAGAGCTAGTTTGTGGAGCACAGAGAAAGACCATTCAAAGCACCAAGTGGAAGAAACTGCCCAGACCACTGCAGCGACTGCAAGGGACACTGCTGCTCCCCTCACAAAGTCCTGAAGACTTTCAAGATGAAAGCTGCAAAATCAAAACGCCACTAACAGCACTTTTGCTAAGCACTGAGAAGTGGGCTGCTTTCTTAGAAACTTTGCCCCTGGGAGGAGAAAGGAGCTGGGCCTCAGAACACGTTGACAGGGGAATGTTGAAGTGGATAATAGTGCATTAACAACAGAAGGGGAAACAACCACGCCACCATCCTGCAACTATGACAAATATGTATAAGGAGAATACGCCATCCAACAATCCATGTCACTGCAGAAGCTCATGGGACCGAGGTCACGAGACGGTGAGCAGGCTGCAGATTGCTCCAGGAGGGGCAGTTCTGTCTAACCAGAGTTCCCAGGCAGGAGCTCTCACGGACCTGTGGTTAAAGCATTGTGCTGTTAACCAAAAGGTTGGTGGTTCAAACCCACCAGCTGCTCAGCAGAAGAAAGATGAGGCAGTCTGCTTCTGTAAAGGTTTACAGCCTTGGAAACCCTATAGGGCAGGTCCACTCTGTCCCATAGGATCACTATGAGTCAGAATCAACTCAGTGACAGTGGGTCTGGTGTTTTGGTTAGAGTTCCCAGGCACAGCTACACATAAATGCTTGCTATAGTCCATCTTCCTTTACTTCAGGGTTCTGAATGGATTTATCATGAAATCTCCTAAGAAAGTGCAGCTTTTATATCACATCATTCCTTTCCCCAGGACCCACCAATTATCTCTCACAATAGACATTTGCAAATGTCTACCATGTGAGAGAGGAGCCCTGGTAGCACAGTGGTGAAAGCATTTGGCTGCTAAGCAAACGGTTGGTGGTTTGAACCCACTAGCTGCTCTGTGGCAGAATGATGAGGCAGTCTGCTTTCATAAAGATTTACAGCCTTGGAAATTTATGGGATATTTCTACTCTGTCCTCTAGGGGCACTGTGAGTTGGAATCAACTGGACAGCAATGAGTTGGGTTTGGTTGTTGTGGACCATGGAAGAGTCACACTTTCATTTAATATTCTCAACCACTGTGGAAAGGAGGCCACCTCATTTACTCAAAGAAAAGACATCAAGACTCAGAGAGGAGCATGTTAGTTGCTCAACATCCCAACTAGCAAGTGTTAGAGCCGGGACTTGAGCCTGGGTTGGTCCACTTCCAGAAACTACTCCTCCGTCATAATTTTAAGGACCTTCAATAAAAAAAGAAGGAAAGAGAAAATGAAAGTAAAATTATAACTAACATGAGCTGGAAGAAGCAGGGGATTAAGAGAAAAGAACAGTGTTAAGCTCAATTCCTCACCTTTCACAGCAGAAAAAACCAAACCCAACCCACTGCCATCGAGTTGATTCTGACTCCGAGCGGCCCCCACTGAGTTTCCAAGGCTGTAGGTCTTTACGGAAGCAGACTGCCTCATCTTTCTTCCACAGAGCAGCTGGTGGGTTCCAACCACCAACCTTCTGGTGAGCAGCCAAACGCCCTAACCACTGCACTACCATGGCTCCGTTCACAGCGGAGCGTCAAGAGATATTTAAAGTTAATCGAAAAAGCCTTGTTTAAAGTTTGGAGGGAAGCATCAGAAGACTAAAACCAGAAATGTTCAGATCTGGTTACTTCTGAGGAGTGAGCCTAGGTGTACAGGTGTATGGGAGACTTCTACTTTCTTTCTTATACTTTTTTGTATTCTCATGATTATTTCTGAAAGTATTACTTTTTATTACTTTAGAGTAAAATTTCTAGATTAAAAAGAAAATGATTTCACCGCCCAAAAGCCTGGTTGGTGGCCAGGGGAGGCAATATTGGACTTGATTCAACATGTCGCTGATGTTTCTTTCTATAGGAACATGTGTGGGCTCGTCTGGATACACCTCTGTCCGTGAGCAGGGCAGCCCTGACTGCTCACACCGGCCCTCGGGAGGTGCTGCTGTCCACGGCACGTGCTGCCCGTGTGAGTGACAAGAGCACTGAGGCCAAGGGCCTTAGAGACATTCTCAGTATTTCTGGAATGACAAGAGCTCCCTAAACTTACCATAGCAAAGGTGCAGTCGGTTCAATAACAGGAATTTCTCAAGACTCAGGGCAACTTCACTCTGGAACAAGCTATCAAGGGACTGTGTCTTGGAGAGTGTAAGAATGCGTCTGTCCACAAACTGCAGCTGGAGCACAGACCTCCCGAGAGCCCTTCCACCTTGATCACATGGGCCAGGAATCCCGCCTCACTGCACGTTTGCTCACTCACTTCTTTTCCTTACTACTCCTACTTTTAGGTCTCCCTTTTTTTTTTTTTTTTCAGTAACACTTTAGCGTGACATAATTTCACATGCCATGCAATTCACCATTTCAAGTGTACAATCCAATGTTTAGGATACTCAGAGGTGTACAACCACGACCACGTTCAATTTTAAAACATTTCCATCACCCTGAAAATAAACCTCGTTCCCCATCAGTAGTCACCCATCTCCGACCAATTCTCATACCCAGTCCTAGCAACCACTGATCTAGTCTGTCTACATATTTGCCTGTTGTGGACATTTCATGCACACAGAATCAGACAATATATGGTCTTTGGGACTCATTTCTTCAACTTACGTAAGTGTAACTTCCGGGATAGGCCTGCTCTGCACACAGGGGCTGCTAAGCGTCAGAATCAACTCAAGGGTTAGGTTACTTTTCTATCTACATTTTTAATTACACAAGAACTATATGAACTTATGCTTTTATAAGAAGAATATAAAATAACAAATAGAGCTAAATCCCTTATGACCACCATCCCCCAATCCAGTCCTTCTCAAGCTCCTCAAACACAACCAGCGCTTTGGCACGTAACCCAGCCTTCTCCATCAGAGTTCAGCAAACTTCTTCTGTAAAGGGCCAGGGAGTGAGTATTTCAGGTTTATGGCTTATAAGGTCTATGTGGCAGTTATTCATGTCCGCCTTCACAGTGCAAAAGAAGTCACAGACAATAGGTAAAGGAACAAGCATGGCTACATTTCAATAAAACTTTATTTATAAAAACAGATGGCAGGCCAGATTTGGCTCATAAACTGTAGTTTGCCTATTCCTAATCTATGCTGTTGTTGTTATGTGCCATCGAGTCGGCCCCGACTTATAGCGACCCTTCCTTGGGTTTCCAATGCGGTATCACTATGGAAGTAGATTGCCCAACCTTCCTTCCAAGGAGTGGCTGGTGGGTTTGAACCACCAGCTTTCTGGTTACCAGACAAATGCCTTAGGCACTATGCTACCAGAGCTCCTCTCCTAATCTATTAGGGATCTATAATGCATTTTAAAGACTTTTAAAAAATCTTGAACAGGGGTCGCTACTCATATTTTTGTAAATAAAGTTTTATTGTAACACAGCCACACCCATTTGTTTATGTATCATGTACAACTGCTCTCACGTTACAAAGGCAGAACTGAGCAGTTGCCACAGAGATCGTGATGGTCCACAAAGCCTAAAATATTGACTATCTGGTCTTATGAAGGAAGCCTGCTTAACCCTGCTACAGAAGATAGAACCTATTTTTTGCACACCCTTTTCCATGTGGTTGTTATTGTTAGGTGCCATTGAGTCGGCTCTGACTCAGTGACCCTACGTGCAAAAAAGAACGAAACACTGCCCAGTCCTGCACCAGCCTCACAATTGCTGCTATGCCTGAGCCCAGCACTG